GTATCAGTTCTAGCAGACTTCTGGTGGAGTCTATCGGATTTTCCATGTATAATATCATGTCATCTGCAAAAAGCGAAAGCTTGACTTCATCTTTGCCAATTTTGATGCCTTTGATTTCCTTTTGTTGTCTGATTGCTGATGCTAGAACTTCCAGCACTATGTTAAACAACAGCGGTGAGAGTGGGCATCCCTGTCGTGTTCCTGATCTCAGGGAAAAAGCTCTCAGTTTTTCCCCGTTGAGGATGATGTTAGCTGTGGGCTTTTCATAAATGGCTTTTATGATGTTTAAGTATGTTCCTTCTATCCCGACTTTCTCAAGGGTTTTTATTAAGAAACGGTGCTGGATTTTGTCAAAGGCCTTTTCTGCATCGATTGACAGGATCATATGGTTTTTCTCTTTTTTTTTGTTAATGTGATGGATCACGTTGATTGATTTGCGAATGTTGAACCAGCCCTGCATCCCAGGAATGAATCCCACTTGATCATGGTGAATAATTCTTTTTATATGCCGTTGAGTTCGATTTGCTAGTATCTTATTGAGAATTTTTGCATCCATATTCATCAGGGATATTGGCCTGTTGTTCTCTTTTTTTACTGGGTCTCTGTCTGGTTTGGGAATCAAAGTAATACTGGCTTCATAGAATGAGTCTGGAAGTTTTCCTTCCCTTTCTATTTCTTGGAATAGCTTGAGAAGGATAGGTATTATCTCTGCTTTAAACGTCTGGTAGAACTCCCCTGGGAAGCCATCTGGTCCTGGACTCTTATTTGTTGGGAGATTTTTGATAACCGATTCAATTTCTTCACTGGTTATGGGTCTGTTCAAGCTTTCTATTTCCTCCTGATTGAGTTTTGGAAGAGTGTGGGTGTTCAGGAATTTGTCCATTTCTTCCAGGTTGTCCAATTTGTTGGCATATAATTTTTCATAGTATTCCCTGATAATTGTTTGTATCTCTGAGGGATTGGTTGTAATAATTCCATTTTCATTCATGATTTTATCTATTTGGGTCATCTCCCTTTTCTTTTTGAGAAGCCTGGCTAGAGGTTTGTCAATTTTGTTTATTTTTTCAAAAAACCAACTCTTGGTTTCGTTGATCTGCTCTACAGTTTTTTTAGATTCTATATTGTTTATTTCTGCTCTGATCTTTATTATTTCTCTTCTTCTGCTGGGTTTAGGCTGCCTTTGCTGTTCTGCTTCTATTTCCTTTAGGTGTGCTGTTAGATTTTGTATTTGGGCTTTTTCTTGTTTCTTGAGATAGGCCTGGATTGCAATGTATTTTCCTCTCAGGACTGCCTTCGCTGCGTCCCAAAGCGTTTGGATTGTTGTATTTTCATTTTCGTTTGTTTCTATATATTTTTTAATTTCTTCTCGAATTGCCTGGTTGACCCACTCATTCGTTAGTAGGGTGTTCTTTAACCTCCATGCTTTTGGAGGTTTTCCAGACTTTTTTCTGTGGTTGATTTCAAGCTTCATAGCATTGTGCTGAAAGTATGCATGGTATGATTTCAATTCTTGTAAACTTATGAAGGGCTGTTTTGTGACCCAGTATATGATCTATCTTGGAGAATGTTCCATGTGCACTCGCGAAGAAAGTATATTCTGTTGCTTTGGGATGCAGAGTTCTAAATATATCTGTCAAGTCCATCTGATCCAATGTCTCATTCAGGGCCCTTGTTTCTTTATTGACCGTGTGTCTAGATGATCTATCCATTTCTGTAAGTGGGGTGTTAAAGTCCCCAGCAATTACCACATTCTTATCAATAAGGTTGCTTATGTTTATGAGTAATTGTTTTATATATTTGGGGGCTCCGGTATTCGGCGCATAGACATTTATAATTGTTAGCTCTTCCTGATGGAAAGACCCTGTCACTATTATATAATGTCCTTTTTCATCTCTTGTTACAGCCTTTAATTTAAAGTCTAGTTTGTCTGATATAAGTATGGCTACTCCAGCTTTCTTTTGGCTTCCAGTAGCATGATAAATAATTCTCCATCCCCTCACTCTCAGTCTAAAGGTGTCCTCAGGTCTAAAATGAGTCTCTTGTAGACAGCAAATAGATGGGTCTTGTTTTTTTTATCCATTCTGATACCCTATGTCTTTTGGTTGGCGCATTTAATCCATTTACATTCAGTGTTATTATAGAAAGATATGGGTTTAGAGTCATTGTGATGTCTGTATGTTTTATGCTTGTAGTGATGTTTCTGGTACTTTGTCTCACAGGGTCCCCCTTAGGATCTCTTGGAGGGCTGGTTTAGTGGTGACAAATTCCTTCAGTTTTTTTTTGTTTGTTTGTTTGTTTGGGAAGACCCTTATCTCTCCTTCTATTCTAAATGACAGACTTGCTGGATAAAGGATTCTCGGCTGCATAATTTTTCTGTTTAGCACACTGAAAATCTCGTGCCAATTCTTTCTGGCCTGCCAAGTTTCAAAAGAGAGATCAGTCACGAGTCTTATAGGTCTCCCTTTATATGTGAGGGCAAGTTTACCCCTTGCTGCTTTCAGAATTTTCTCTTTATCCTTGTATTTTGCCAGTTTCACTATGATATGTCGTGCAGAAGATCGATTCAAGTTATGTCTGAAGGGAGTTCTCTGTGCCTCTTGGATTTCAATGCCTTTTTCCTTCCCCACTTCAGGGAAGTTCTCAACTATTATTTCTTCAAGTACCCCTTGAGCACCTTTCCCTCTCTCTTCCTCCTCTGGGATACCAATTATGCATATATTATTTCTTTTTAGTGTATCACTTAGTTCTCTAATTTTCCCCTCATACTCCTGGATTTTTTTATCTCTCTTTTTCTCAGCTTCCTCTTTTTCCATAACTTTATCTTCTAGTTCACCTATTCTCTCCTCTGCCTCTTCAATCCAAGCCGTGGTGGTTTCCATTTTGTTATGCATTTCGTTTAAAGCGTTTTTCAGCTCCTCGTGACTGTTCCTTAGTCCCTTGATCTCTGTAGCAAGAGATTCTCTGCTGTCAGCTATACTGTTTTCAAGCCCAGCGATTAATTTTATGACTATTATTCTAAATTCCCTTTCTGTTATATTATTTAAATCCTTTTTGATCAGATCATTAGCTGTTGTTATTTCCTGGAGATTCTTCTGAGGGGAATTCTTCCGCTTGGTCATTTTGGATAGTCCCTGGCATGGTGAGGACCTGCAGGGCACTTCCCCTGTGCTGTGGTGTATAACTGGAGTTGGTGGGCGGAGCCGCAGTCAGACCTGATGTCTGCCCCCAGCCCACCGCTGGGGCCACAGTCAGACTGGTGTGTGCCTTCTCTTCCCCTCTCCTAGGGGCGGGATTCACTGTGGGGTGGGGTGGCCTGTCTGGGCTACTTGCACACTGCCAGGCTTGTGATGCTGGGGATCTAGCATCTTAGCTGGGGTGGGTAGGCAAGGTGCACAGGGGCAGGAGGGGCAGGCTTAGCTTGCTTCTCCTTAGGTGATCCACTTCAAGCGGGGCCCTGTGGCCACAAGAGGGAGTCAGATCCACTGCCGGAGGTTTGGTTCCGCAGAAGCGCAGAGTTGGGTGTTTGCTCGGAGCGAGCAAGTTCCCTGGCAGGAACTGGTTCTCTTTGGGATTTTGGCTGGGGGATGGGCGGGGGAGATGGCGCTGGCGAGCGCCTTTGTTCCCCACCAAACTGAGCTCTGTGGTCAGGGGGCTCAGCAGCTCTCCTTCCCTTTGTCCTCCAGCCTTCCCGCTTTCTGAGCAGAGCTGTTAACTTATGACCTCCCAGACGCTAAGTCGCGCTTGCTGTCAGAACACAGTCCGTCAGGCCCCTCCGCTTTTTGCAATCCAGACTCAGGGGCTCTGCTTGGCCGGCGAGCCGCCCCTCTGCCCCGGCTCCCTCCCACCAGTCCGTGGAGCGCGCACCGCCTCGCCGCCCTTCCTACCCTCTTCCGTGGGCCTCTCGTCTGCGCTTGGCTCCGGCGACTCCGTTCTGCTAATCCTCTGTCGGTTTTCTGGGATATTTAGGCAGGTGTAGGTGGAATCTAAGTGATCAGCAGGACGCGCGGTGAGCCCAGCGTCCTTCTATGCCGCCATCTTATCCCTGGATCCTCCTCGAGGATTTTGATGGCTTCTTTTCTTACATTGAGTCCTTTCATCCATTTTTAGTTTATTTTTGTGTCTGGTGTAAGAAAGTGGTCCAGGTTCATTCTTCTGCATGTCGCTGTCCAGTTTTCCCAGCACCACTTGCTGACGAGACTGTCTTTATTCCATTGGATATTCATTCCTGCTTTGTCAAAGATTAGTTGGCCATATGTTTGTGGGTCCAATTCTGGGTTCTCTATTCTGTTCCATTGATCTGAGTGTCTGTTCTTGTGCCAAGGAGTCATTGGATTCTAGCTCTCACTCTGCTACTAACTTGCTGTATGACCTTCTCTTCTTTGACACTATCAAATGGGGAGGTTGCACTAGAAGCTCTCCAGGGCCATTTCCATCTCTGTGCTACTAGTACACAGAGTAAAGATGCTTTTGCTAATAATACTTCCTAGTGTAATGTGCATTTAAGCCTACTTCATGGCTTAAATGCAGATTAGAAGTAGTCGTTAATCAGCCTCAACTGACCTTTCCTTGCAGTCAGTACAGGCTGCATGTGCAGGACCTCTGGAGAAATGGCCCTGCTAGTGGTGGTGGTGCCCTTCTCCCACAGTCACATCAGCATCCTACCAACACCTCTGAGAGGTGTGTATTTTTTTTGCCATGGCCTTTGATGGCACACATTTCTCTTATGCTTGTGCTTTAAGCACATCTGTACTGTGTTTATTTTCTCAGTTTTGACAATGTATAGCATGTTGCACCCATAATCTCTGCTCGTTATTACCTTCCAGCAGTGTTTTTCAAGAACATGTTTAATGATGGTTTTGTTTAGGTATTTAATTGATAGAAGCAATGTTGGAAATTGTGATGTGAAATGCATCCAAGTTTGTGTTCTGCCAGTGTTTCCTATTGTTTATATATCTCTTTCTCCAAATTGAAATGTCATCTTCTCTTTTGAAAATTCCCAGGATCAAGTTGATCTTATAACAGTCAAGCAGTATGGACTGCAGGAATCTGTTCATGAAAGTGGGATAGAGTCTGCTACATGTTATGATTCCAGCATATCTTCCATGGAAAGCATACCTGAATCGTCAGGTAGGTACATTTGGACACTTGGATGGAGATTATCAGAAGAAAAACAGTGGCCCACAAGGTAGTTATGGCTTTTCAAAGGAAGAGAGTTTTCTGTTTATAATGGTGTGAAATCTCAAGAGTGAACTTTCTTCATCTTCTGTAAGTTTTTTGAGATGATGATTTGAGAGCAGTGAAAGTGAATATCTCATCAGTGGTTTGAGTGCTGGAGAATGGTATTATTCTGTCGCATTAAAATTTAATATTCTAAAGATTGGTGCTAGATCCCAGTCCTTGGAGGAGTAGCATCTTATCTCTTATGCAGTCTTAGTGAAGACTGTGCCATAGGGATTGCAATCCAAAGAAACCTCTTGTTTTAAAAAAATGTACTATAAGAAGAACTTTTAGTAAAGACCAAAAAGGACAGTCTCTCAGAAACAGTAATATTTATAATGTAAGTTTTGGTATTAAAGAAATTTCATAAATATAATTGTATAAAAAGTACAAAACTTAAAGCAGTGCTGGATGCATAATACAGATCATGTCTAATTTGCTGAGCTTAGCATAGAGTATTTGAATTTGGGAATCTTCACATATAGAACTAATACATATATTTTTAACATATTCTAATTAATGACTTTGACATTATTGCTGCCAATTTCAAACTTTGTTTAAAAAGTCCTTTAAAAAATTGATTTAGAGAAGGGGAAGACCATGAACCCATGATTGTGATTTCTAAAACATATAAGAGCAAATTTAGTTTTAAATTTGCACACACTCTTTGAGATGTATGCTTCTATGGGTTTGACAAAGGCAAGGAGTCCTGTATCTGCTACCACATTACCCAACAGAACAGTTCTGTCATCCCCAAATTCCTTAGTGTTGTCTCTTTGAATTCCAGCTCTGTCCTCTTCCTCTGGCAACCATTGATCTGTATTCCTTCTCTGTTTTCCTTTTTCCAGAATGTCTTGTAAATGGAATCATATAGTGCCTTACCTTTTTGGTCTGGCTTTGTTAACAAAATGCATATAAGATTCATCCATGTTTCATGAATCAATAGTTCAATCCTCTTTCCTTGCTTAGTAGTACTGCATCTTATGCATGCACCATAGTTATTTGTTTAAAAATCCATTAATCTGCAGAAATACATCTGGGTTATTTCCACGTTTTCAGTGATTATAAGTAAAACTATTATAAACATTTGCATAGAGGGTTTTTTGTGGAAATACAAATGTTCAATTGACTTCATTAAATTCCTAGGAGTGGGACAGCTGGGTCATATGGAAAATGTGTGTAAAAGAAACTACCAAACTATATCCCAAAATGACTGCCATTTTGCATTCTTCAAATAATATTCTCCACTTTGCTTTTGGGGCTGTTGAAGGAGAATCTTTCTCAACACCTCCACCGGCAATTCAAGCACTCCTGAGATCCCCACATTCTGGAGAACATATCTTTTTGAAGTTGTTGTTCATTACGTTTAATTTGGTATCAGTTGGAAGGTACGAATTTTCAGAAGCACAGCCAAAAAAATTTTTATAATGAAAAGACACTCAACACGAATGGTTTGGGTACCTACCCACTTATGCATGGGTGGGTAAAGGAAAAGTCAGACACTACTTCCTTTTTATTTATTTTCAAATATGAACAGATTTTTTTTGTTTTTTTTTAATTTTTAACTTGTTTTATTATTATTTTTTTAATTTACAACCAGATTAGCATCTAGTGCAACAATGATTTCAGGAGTAGATTCCTTAGTGCCCCTTACCCATTTAGCCCATCCCCCCTTCCACACCCCTCCTGTAACCCTCAGTTTGTTCTCCATATTTATGAGTCTCTTCTGTTTTGTCCCCCCTCCCTGTTTTTATATTATTTTTGTTTTCCTTCCCTTATATTCATCTGTTTTGTCTCTTAAAGTCTTCATATGAGTGAAGTCATATGCTTTTTGTCTTTCTCTAGTTTCACTTAGCATAATGCCCTCCAGTTCCATCCATGTAGTTGCAAATGGCAAGATTTCATTCTTTTTGGTCGCCAAGTAATACTCTATTGTATATATATACTACATCTTCTTTATCCATTCATCCATCCATGGACATTTGGGCTCTTCCCATACTTTGGCTATTGTTTATAGTGCTGCTATAAACATGGGGGTGCATGTGTCCCTTCAAAACAGCACACCTGTATCCCTTGGATAAATGCCTAATAGTGTGATTGCTGGGTCGTAGGGTAGTTCTATTTTTAGTTTTTTGAGGAACCTCCATACTGTTTTCCAGAGTGGCTGCACCAGCTTGCATTGCCACCAACAATGCAAAAGAGATCCTCTTTCTCCTCATCCTTGCCAACATCTGTTGTTGCCAGAGTTGTCAATGTTAGCCATTCTGACAGGTGTGAGGTGGCATCTCATTGTGGTTTTGACTTGTATTTCCCTGATGATGAGTGAAGTTGAGCATTTTTTCATGTGTAGGTTGGCCATCTGGATGTGTTCTTTGGAGAAGTGTCTATTCATGTCTTTTGCCCATTTCTTCACTGGATTATTTGTTTTTTGGGTGTTGAGTTTGATAAGTTCTTTATAGATTTTGGATACTAACCCTTTATCTGATATGTCATTTGCAAATATCTTCTTCCATTCTGTCAGTTGCCTTTTAGTTTTGCTGATTGTTTCCTTCGCTGTGCAGAAGCTTTTTATTTTGATGAGGTCCCAGTAGTTCATTTTTTGCTTTTGTTTCCCTTGCCTCCGGAGACGTGTTGAGTAAGAAGTCGCTGTGGCCAAGATCAAAGAGTTTTTGCCTGCATTCTCCTCGAGGATTTTGATGGCTTCCTGTCTTACATTGAGGTCTTTCATCCATTTTTAGTTTGTTTTTGTGTATGGGGTAGGAAAGTGGTCCAGGTTCATTCTTCTGCACGTCGCTGTCCAGTTTTCCCAGCACCACTTGCTGAAGAGACTGTCTTTATTCCATTGGATATTCATTCCTGCTTTGACAAAGATTAGTTGGCCATACGTTTGTGGGTCCATTTCTGGGTTCTCTATTCTGTTCCATTGATCTGAGTGTCTGTTCTTGTGGCAGTACCATACTGTCTTGATGATTACAGCTTTGTAGTATAGCTTGAAGTCTGGGATTGTGATGCCTCCTGCTTTGGTTTTCTTTTTGAAGATTGCTTTGGCTATTCGGGGTCTTTTCTGGTTCCATACAAATTTTAGGATTGTTTGTTCTACCTCTGTGAAGAATGCTGGTGTTATTTTGATAGGGATTGCATTGAATATGTAGATTGCTTTGGGTAGTATCGACATTTTAACAATATTTGTTCTTCGTATCCAGGAGCATGGAATCTTTTTCTATTTTTTTCTTTTTTGTGTCTTCTTCAATTTCTTTCATAACCTTTCTATAGTTTTCAGTGTATAGATTTTTCACCTGTTTGGTTAGATTTATTCCTAGGTACTTTATGTTTTGTGTGTGTGTGTGTGTGCGACTGTAAATGGGATCGATTCCTTGATTTCTCTGTCACTTCATTATTGGTGTATAGGAGTGTATCTGATTTCTGTGCATTGATTTTATATCCTTCAACTTTGCTGAATTCATGAATCAATTCTAGCAGATTTTTGGTGGAATCTTTTGGGTTTCCATATAGAGTATCATGTCATGTTCTAAGAGTGAAAGTTTGACCTCCTCCTGGCCAATTTGGATGCCTTTTATTTCTTTGTGTTGTCTGGTTGCAGAGGATAAGACTTCCAATAGTATGTTGAGCAACAGTGGTGAGAGTGGACATCCCTATCTTGTTCCTGACCTTAGGGGGAAAGCTCTCAGTTTTTCCATTGAGGATGATATTAGTGTTTGGTTGTTCATACATGGCTTTTATGATCTCGAGGTATGCTCCTTCTATCCCTACCTTCTTGAGGGTTTTTATCAAGAAAGGATGCTGTATTTTGTCAAATGCTTTCTCTGCATCTATTGAGAGGATCATATGGTTCTTGTCCTTTCTTTTATTGATGTGGTGAATCACGTTAATTGTTTTGTGGATATTGAACCAGCCCTGTATCCCAGGTATAAATCTCACTTGGTCGTGGTGAATAATTTTTTAATGTATTGTTGGAGCCAATTGGCTAATATCTTGTGGAGGATTTTTGCATCCATGTTCATCAGGGAAATTGGTTCTCCTTTTTAGTGGTGTCTCTGTCTGGTTTTGGAATCAAGGTAATGGTGGCTTCATAAGAAGAGTTTGGAAGTTTTCCTTCCATTTCTATTTTTTGGAAAAGCTTCAAGAGAATAGGTGTTAACTCTTCCTTAAATGTTTGGTAGAATTCCCCTGGAAAGCCATCTAGCCCTGGACTCTTGTTTTTTGGCAAATTTTTGATTACTAATTCAATTTCCTTACTGGTTATGGGTCTGTTCAAATTTTCTATTTCTTCCTGTTTCCATTTTGGTAGTGTATATGTTTCTAGGAATTTGTTCATTTCTTCCAGATTGCCCATTTTATTGGTATATAATTGCTCATAATATTCTCTTATTATTGTTTTTATTTCTACTGTGTCCGTTGTGATCTCTCCTCTTTCATTATTGATTTTATTTATTTGGGTCCTTTCCTTTTTCCTTTTGATAAAACTGGCTAATGGTTTATCAATTTTGTTAATTCTTTGAAAAACCAGCTTCTGGTTTCATTAATCTGTTCCACTGTGTTTTTTTGGTTTCGATTTCTGCTCTAATCTTTATTATTTCCTGTCTTCTGCTGGTTTTGGGTTTTATTTGCTGTTCTTTTTCCAGCTCCTTAAGGTGTAAGGTTAGGTTGTGTATCTGAGCTCTTTCTTCCTTCTTTAGGAAGGCCTGGATTGCTATATACTTTCCTCTTATGACCGCCTTTGCTGCATCCCAGAGGTTTTGGGTTGTGGTGTTATCATTTTCATTGACTTCCACATACTTTTTAATTTACTCTTTAACTTCTTGGTTAGCCCATTCATTCTTTAGTAGGATGATCTTCAGTCTCCAATATTTGTTACCTTTCCAGATTTTTTCTTGTGGTTGATTTTGAGTTTCATAGCATTGTGGTCTGAAAATATGCACAGTATGATCTTGATCTTTTTGTACTTACTTAGGGCTGATTTGTGCTCCAGTATATGGTCTATTCTGGAGAGCGTTCCATGTATATTCTGCTGCTTTAGGATGAAATATTCTGAATATATCTGTTAAGTCCATCTGGTCCAGTGTGTCATTCAAAGCCCTTGTTTCCTTGTTGATTTTTTGGTTAGATGATCTGTCCATTGCTGTGAGTGGGGTGTTGAAGTCTCCTACTATTATGGCATTACTGTTGATGAGTTTCTTTATGTTTGTGATTAATTGATTTATGTATTTGGGTGCTCTCACATTTGGCGCATAAATGTTTACAATTGTTAGGTCTTCTTCATGGATAGACCCCTTGATTATGATATAATGCCCTTCTGCATCTCCTGATACAGTCTTTATTTTGAAGTCTAAATTGTCTGATATAAGTTATGGCTACTCCAGCTTTCTTTTGTTGGCCATTAGCATGATAGATGGTTCTCCATCCCCTTATCAAATATGAACATATTTTTAAGTAATGCTCTGACTTACTCCTGGTACCTGGCACATCTGATCCTTAACATAGAATAAAACTGGACACTCCTGTTTTTATGACTTAAAAGGGGAAATAAAGAGAAATCAGTAAATCTTTGATAATGTTGGTACTTCTGCTTTCTTGGTCATGAATGCCACTGTGCTTTCTTTCAGCTACATCATCTTTGCAGAGCTTTGAATTCGAACCTGACGTGGAACAGGTGGATGATATGGATGAGGTGCAACAGGTGGACGAGGTGGAAAAGATGGGTCAGATTGATGAGATGGAAGAGGTGGAACAAGTAGACAAAGAAGAAGAGGTGGAGCAAGCGGAGGAGGTGGAGGAGGAGGACCAGCTAGACCAGGTGGAGCAGGAGGCCCTCTCATCCTTCAGTGTGGCTGGTGGCATCAGTGATGAGGTACCTGTGGGAGTCTTGCTCCATGTATTTGTCTGGACCACTAACCCTGCAAAACCCTGAATTTCCACTCTTGTGCTCAGGTTCATTGTGCAGAAAGCATATTATTATTTTTTAACTGTATCACCATTTCTGTCATACTGGATTTTCCTATCCTGCTGAGAATCCAGTAGACCCTAGAAAATAGGGAGATTGAAGATTCTCTAAGTAAAACCAAATCTCCGTTCCTTTCTTAATGTGAAATATGCAAAGACACCTTGTGCTTGAGAGAAAGTTTGGGCCAAATGGGAAGGTTATCCACTAAGAAAAGGCAGTATTTTATTTTATTTTACTTTATTACATTTTATTTTATTTTATTTTTAAACATTCTTAAAATATAATTTATTGTCAAATTGGTTTCCATACAACACCCATTGCTCATCCCAACAAGTGCCCTCCTCCCTGCCCATAACCCACTTTCCCCTATCCCCCACCCCCATCTACCCTTAGTTTGTTCTCAGTCCTTAAGAGTCTCTTATGGTTTGCCTCCCTTCCTCTCTGTAACTTTTTCCCCCCTTCCTCTCCCCCCTGGTCTTCTGTTATGTTTCTCAAGATCCACATATGAGTGAAAACATATGGTATCTGTCTTACTCTGCCTGGCTTATTTCACTTAGCATAATACCCTCCAGTTCCATCCACATTGCTGCAAATGGCCAGATTTCATTCTTTCTCATTGCCAAGTAGTATTCCATTGTATATATAAACCACATCTTCTTTATCCATTCATCCATCGATGGACATTTGGGCTCTTTCCATAATTTGGCTATTGTTGAAAGTGCTGCTATAAGCATTGGGGTACATGTGCCCCTATGCATCAGCACTCCTGTATCTTTTGGGTAGATTTCTAGCAGTGCTATTGCTGGGTCATAGGGTAGTTATATTTTTCATTTTTTGAGGAAACTCCACACTGTTTTCCAGAGTGGCTGCATCATTTTGCATTCCCACCAGCAGTGCAAGAGGGTTCCCGTTTCTCCACATCCTCGCCAGCATCTATAGTCTCCTGATTTGTTCATTTTAGCCACTCTGACTGACACGAAATGGTATCTGAGTGTGGTTTTGATTTGTATTTCCCTGATGAGGAGTGACATTGAGCATCTTTTCATGTGTCTGTTGGCCATCCGGATGTCTTCTTTGGAAAAGTTTCTATTCATGTCTTCTACCCATTTCTTCACTGGATTATTTGTTTTTCAGGTGTGGAGTTTGGTGAGTTCTTTATAGATTTTAGATACTAGCCTTTTATCCGATATGTCATTTGCAAATATCTTTTCCCATTCCATCAGTTGCCTTTTAGTTTTATTGATTGCTTCCTTTGCTGTACAGAAGCTTTTTATCTTGATGAGGTCCCAATAGTTCACTTTTGATTTTAATTCCCTTGGGAAAGGCAGTACTTTAAAGCACTGTTCCTTATCACCTGTGAGGGGATGCTAACCATCTCCAAGAAAGATGACTTTCCTGCTTACCATAGCAGCACCTCCCCACCACAAGCTAGGTTTCTCCAATGGAATTTTTGTTAGGTTAGAAGCATGCCTTTCAGAATGTTAGATGTAGCCAACCTTCAAATGTCAACATTGATGTATGGTCTGAGGGCAAATCAATACATTTGGATTAACTACTCTGTTGCTCTTCTGTCCTCAAATTTGTGTACATAATGACAGATTTGGACAATCATCTTTTATAATAGACAAGATTATTAAAATCAGGATTGGTAGGCAAGATAATGAGTTTATGGTTTGTTACATGGAATTGTGTGCATTAATTATGAAGCCTAAGATGAGTCACTCCCTATTGTAATGAGAAGAACTGAGGGATAGAAGACAGTGTGCAGTGACTTTGGCACATCCCTGCATATCAGTTTCTCCATCTTGAGATGGTCTGCTTGCCTTGCAGGGATTTTTGGACTGCTATGAAAAATTTTTGAACAATTTAAAAGAAAATTTCTGTATAAATCCATTTTGTCCTTATTTATGTCTTTATTATGCCAAAATGCTGTGGTTCCCCTTCCACTGTTGATGTTTCTCTTCTGCTTTGAATGAATTTATAACTAAACTTTCAACATAATATTTGTTTAAAATAGTCAAAATAACCAGCCTTGAGTGTGCATAATACAGTTCTGCATGTGGTACATGGGCTTATTGGGCTTATTTTGGGGTGCCATGGATTGACAAGCTGGAATGTAGCCAGAAGATGGAGACAGGATGGAGGAAGGCTGAAAAATGTCATATTGTCAGTAGTGGGAGGTAGTCATAGTGGAAGGCATTGGAGAAGGGAGGCTGGGAAGGGACAGGACAGCCTGATCCAAGTAGCTGCATAGCCATCATGTTCCTGAAGTAGAAGACAAGTCTCCAGTGGATCAAACTAGGGTGGAGAGCTAGCAGCTCAGGACTGGCAACTTTCCATTCCTCTGAAGAAAGCCTTTCTTAGATGAGTTAGGTTACCTCCCCAGGTGGTGAGCTTCCTCACCTTCAACAGAAAAGTTTGAGACAGGCTTGGTAGCTCATATACCAAAGACAGCAGAGAAAAGATTCCTGCTTGGAGAATGGGAGTGTGGATGTGATAACCTATAAGGTTTGTCCCTTCCAGTCTTGAGTTTAGACTTTTTATTTTATTTCATTTCATTTCATTTCATTTCATTTCATTTCATTTGTTTGTTGAAAGCCTGCTTTCTTTTTTTAAAATATTTATATATTTTTGAAAGAGAATTAGAGCATGTGTGGCGGGGGGGGGGTGGTGAGAGAGAGGGAGACACAGAATCTGAAGCAGGCTCCAGGCTCTGAGCTGTCAGCACAGAGCCCAACATGGGGCTAGAACCCATGAACCATGAGATCATGACCTGAGTCAAAGTTGGATGCTTAGCTGACTGAACCACCCAGGTGTACTGAATGCCTGATTTCTTATATGAAGATCTATATACTATATAACAAAAAAAGGACAATTGGACAATTTTCAATGGCTTAAAAATACATATATGATTTTTTATTCCAAGTGAGAAAAACAACTTGCATGTATTTTTCTCTGTCTCTCTTTAATAATTCAGCTGTGTGCTTCCATTAGCCATAAAGGGGTTTAAGGGCACAGTATAGAATAGAAGGCCACAGAACAGACTTTTGTTTTTGTTTTCTAGTAGTCGCATCCATATGTACCTTCTCATCATTAATACTGACACTGTGGCTCTCTCATTTTGTTTATACACACAATATATAGCCCAGATCAGGCGAATGATAGCTTTCACAGATAGCTTTTTTCCAAGAACCCCGCCTCTTTCCTGCCCCCTTAGCTAGCTAGTTGAGAAGCCATGTCCACTTTATTAAATTCTCTCAAATATGTCCCTTCATTTGTATGTGTCCTTCCTCTGGTCTGTTTCAAGCCCCTGTTACCTCTACTATAACTGTATGGACAGCACTTACTTTAGAGGACATTGTGAAGGTCAGATCTGTGGATTTCTTTGTAGTGCTTATAAGAGCACCTGGAACAAAGGAAGTGCAAGTTGACCATTCCTCCTACCACATTGCCAACAGGGGCATCTGATAGATGTTTCCCACATGCCTCATCTGTGATATGACTCACTGCATTCCGAGTCTTCCACTAAGGACTTCGGGCAGGTTGCTTCACACTTTGGGGCCAATTCCACAGCTTTATGTTTTGAGGCAAAAAATCTGACTAAATGATTCCCATGATCCATTTCTGACCTAGAAATCCTGGATTCTGTAACCATTTCTTCAGACTTTCTAGTAACGAATGAAATTGGGAGTGGAGTGACATCATTCACATTCTCAGTCTTTAAAAACTTGGAAATAAAGCGATATGGTAGGATTTGGAGAACCTGGTGTCCCTATCTATGAACCACAAGCAATTCCTCCCCACAGCTATTAGAACCACTACCGTCAGTTGCATTGTACATCAACAAACGGGAGCTGGGGCTGATGAGGAAGTTTAGGGAGCAGCTGGAAGAAAAGACTCGGATGCTGCAGGCTGAGATCAGAAGCCTGCATGACGCACTGGGAATGATGAAGGAGCAGCTTCGGAGAATAGAGGATACCGGCTTTCAGATCAGAGGCCAGTTCCATGTAAGTAAGAGGCAAAAGGGAGAGGAGAAAGGGACCTTGATAGTTTTCAAGGAGTTAGTAGGGCCTGCTAGTAGTGACAGCAGCTGCTCCAGGATGGCATGGGACATTTGGAGTAGTATTCAGCAGTGACATCTGTCTTTGCTCTTTGTCTCTTGGCTTCAGTGGCTGAAATGGGCCCAGCTGGGCTCTGGCAGTGGCAGATGGCCTTATATACAACCAGGGCTTCCTGTGAGCCTACCTGAAGGCACTGTCACTCCATGCCCTGAGGAAAGGTGTGGCTCCTGAATAAGACCTTTGTGATACATTACAAATCCTTACAGATGCAGCCAACCACCTCACACCACCTTCACTGTCCTGAGCCCCAGTCTTTGGAGCCAGTGCCCAAGAAACCGCGGACTGAGCAAATGGAGGGGCCCTTCCCAGATTTCAAGGACACGAGCCTTTCCTGTGGTTCATCTTCCTGCTATTTCAAATTCCCTGAGGAGCTTGAGGAGCCTTGTGATGCCTCCAACCAGGTAGGGAAAGGCTGTTTTAACTACGTAGCTGAAAGGAGATTTGACTTTCATGAATATTGGGGCTCACCTAATTCTCCTGAGGGTGTAGTGGCTACTTGGTTGCAGTTCATTTCCCTGAGATAAAAAAAAAATCTTGACTAACTAGACCTGGACACACATCCACACATACATGTACATATGTTCTGAATTGTAGCTTATTTAGCCAAGAGCATGACTGCAACTAGTGCCTTAGCAAACAAGTAAGATAGCACCCAGACCAAGCCCAGAGATGCAGGGCCAGTCATCTTCTGCTTCAGGAGAACAGAGGGGGAGCATTCCAGCAATCTCCGGGGGGCTCTTGCAGACACTGAGGTACTGTCATCTCTTTCCTTTGGATGCAACATGTGCAGGGGCAGGAACATTACCTGTAGCAGCAGATCCTGTGGGAAACCAGATGCTGCAAATACTCCTGCTAAACCAGGCTGGCATGGCTGTGCCCTCTGTGATGACCTTGTTACATTTATGCAGAACCAGCCCATCGTTGTTCCTGTCCAGTTAATGGCTGGACAACATCCCCCTGACAACTGTCAAGATGAAAACCTTGGGGGCCTCAAAGATGACAGTCAGAGGGAAGAAGTGCATGGGACGGTGGCAGTGGCTAAGATCTCTGCTTTCCCCTCATGACTGGGCGCCATGCCTAAAACCATGAGTGACTTGTCCACGGGACACCAAAAGCACCCTCATCAAAAGCAGCATGCTCCCACCCATCTTGCTCTGTGGCCACTGGTTCCCTACCTCTGTGTTCACAGTGTGTGGCCAAGCATGCATTGATGGAACAGAGGAGTCTCCATGAAAATAGAAGGCCTAGATGAGTACACCCCCAAGCTAGGGAATTAGCATGCAAATCTTGAAATCTCTTGGCTTCATCCACACAAGCCCAGACTCATGGCACAGGGTATCTTATAGGGAAGTCTTGAGTGCCCATATCTGAATAACTTCTGGGCTCTCAGTTTTCTTCTCCCACTTCACTGGGATCTGGTGATCACAACAGACCAGATGAAGGGGTCCCCATGGATTGGCAATCTGTGGGAGAGAAGTGGGTATGAAACATTTGCTTGATGGCCAATGGATTCCAAAGAGCTAACATCACAGAAGGACTAAGCCCTGGAGGCAGTATGAGGACATGAACACATTTTTTGTTCAGTGATAGTCTGTGGCCCCAAATTCCAGAAAGAGAAGGCTCTGCTCAGCAATGAAGGGGTTGTATATAGCACATGCTTGATGCCCAATAAATATTTTTGAATGAATGCCAGTTCTCTGTGTGAGCCTCCCAGAGCTCCAGATTTCCTTCTGGGCCTTCCTGTAGGATCAGTGACCCTGATATGTGGGGTAGGTGGGTTAGTGCCATGTTTTGCACTGGCCTGATCATCAGAATCCACTTGAGGAAGTTGTGGAAAGTACAAATTCAGAAGTCCCTATTTATCCCAAGAGCCCCAGACATAGCATTTTAGAGAGAGTGCTGGACTTGCAATGAGGAACTGGCCTGGCACCCCCATCCAGCTACCAACTCCTTCAGTGACAAAGGGCAAGGCACTGACTTTGGGTGGGTAAAGTAACTTGCATTAAGGCATGTGGCAGAGCCAGGACTGTCCAAGTAAAACAAATAAAACTACTTGAGACAAAAGCTAATTCATCTCAATCTTTACATTCACTTTAATGTGGCAAATGGAATCTTACTCAGGCAAAGTGAGAGTGCAAACCAGTGAATCCTGATTTAGCCACCAAAACGAAATGTGCCATAAGCACCTACTGATGAGCAAGGCAATGGCTCCTGGGTCATCATTGTTCCCTAATCCACATCACTGTAACATGTTTCTTTCAGTTTTCTTTCTGAGGACCAGCAGGGGTCCCCCATCAATCTGCTGCCACTGCTGTATAGTCCCAGCTCTGAGACAGGTTCCTCTACCAGCTTTTCTGAGTCTCCCATAAATTCTGACTCAAACTGAGTCACCCTGGAGACCTCGCAGGATTACATTCAACTTTGGCAACAGCCACCAGATCCACAGTATCACATTTACTTCCAAGTGAATACTTATCCTTCCAGTGAGCAGGCCACTATGCAGGACCAAGCCACCTGGGCCCAGGTATACCATTCCTTTCTCCTCTCCTCCCCAGCCCAGGTCAGGGGTTCTGTATGGAGGCTAGGTCTTTTCCCCAAAAGGCACACACAACAGGAGTATGCTATCTGTGTGAAATCCAGGCTTCAAAGCTCAGTAAATTTGAGGGTGGTTACTCACATGGTGGTGGCAGGCACTGCTGAGTAAAAAGATTCTCTTCAGGGTTCCATGAAAAAGTGAGCTGTCCTCATGTATATTAAATGCAATATCACATGGAAATTTCTTAAACATATGTTACCTGGGCAAAGTGAGTCATGCCATATGCTGAAATCATTGCCAGAGGCCAGGCCCCTTTCTGAACCTGTGGATCTTTAGTTCTCTCGTACAAAGTCCAGAGCCTAGTGTGAGTATGTTTCCTTGTACTGAAAATAAACAAGGGTTCTTCTATGGAATGTACTTGGTATTCATCCACAGGGTGCTCCATATTTGGCAGGACAGACCCCACTTTGGGGACCGTCTGTAATAGTCATGTTTCCAGGGCAGTGTTAGCAGCTGGTCCAGATGGCAGTCACATATTGGATTTTGCTCCCAGATACACTCCCAGAAAGCCCCTTGGGACCATAAATTCTCAATATGACTAAAAACACTTATAAAGGTGTTTTGATTCTGGATTTAGAAATCTTGATGGAGTCTAACCTCTGATTTTCAAAACTATCAAGAACAAGAAGAGGAAAAAAACAGTAGGCCAATGCAGGATGAGGGAGTTTGGTTATTTTAAGTGGCTAAAGTGTGATTATTTTCACATACACACCTGGACCAACTGGACTGCCAGTCCTCGGAAAAGTTGATCCATGAGAGGGACTTCTCATGCAAAGAGACCAGATGCTCAGTGGACCCTGTAGTTGAGTTACCAAGCCAGACTCTGGTTAAACCCTTCATCATGTCTCCTTTTGAGGCACTGTCATCTGGATGGGTCCTTAGAAGCAGAGCTGAGACAAAACTGAACAGGTATCCCAGGGAAGTGGAGAAGGGAGGACCCCTGGGAGGTTGTTGGGAGAATGCAGTGGAATGGCCAAGGGCAGGACCATGTGGGAGCTTCCTTGTCCAGAAGACTTCAGGGGCTCCCCACACCCTGCCTTGACTCATTTCCACTGTCCTCTGGGCACTCCCTGTCCCCAAGTCCCCAAGCATATCCATCTTTCTTCCCATAGCCCAGCCCTGCTCTGTCTGTTCTTCTGTATTCTCTTCCACCCCTTTGGTTGTACTTCTTGAAATCTTACATCACCCTCAAAACCCAACCCAAGGGATCCTTCCTCCTCAAACAGAAAAGGCTCCCCCAGCCTACTCTGTAATACCACTTTTGTGTCTGCCCCTCATCCCCACTATACAACTTAGAGTGGGTTGTTGTTACCTTTCCCATCGCATTGTTCAAGTGGGCCAAGTACCTCACTGGTAAGTGAGGCTTAGCAATGAAGTTACTTAGTCTGAGCAGAGTAATAGCAAGGTCCAAAGGTAGGGGCAGGAAGAGACCTTCAAGCCTTCAGCTAGCCATGACTGGCCGAGAAGCTGGGCTAGGGAGGGCCAGACACAGAACTCAGTAGCCTTAAGCATTAAGACAACTTTGGGAGAGCCCAGTGCTACTTCTGCTGGTCTTTCAGGCAACATGATGTTGAAACATGAAAGTGGAGAGGAACCCCGTTTTCCCCAGCTGCACTTCTAGCAGCACCTTGTAGGCGTGTGTTCCGAAGATATTTCTCAGTAGCTTGCTGACTTGAACTAAAGGGAGCTTCTCACCTTGTCCCCCTTTTTCTTAGCAGTGCCGGCTACTGAAGTAGGAAGCAGGGATCTCCAGATTCAGAGGCTTTCCAGGACCATGATGAATTAACACCAGGCCAAATCAACTATTTCATGTCTGCAGAACAGTCCAGCTTGGATGAACACCAGTGGGATTTTCATACTGAACCTTGAGAGAAGAGGGACAGACAGACCAATGAGGCCTGCATGGCCAAGGGAACTCCAAGCATTACAGAATCCCCTGGAGTAGGGGTTGAAGAATGGGGTGGGTACTTTCTTTTCTTTCTTGATAAGTTCTGTTTGGGATTGTTGAGCACAACCTGTTTCTTGGAAGTTGTGTTTCAGTGGCAGCCTGTGATCCCTAGTGTGCTAATATGTGACAGTAGCCAGGCCACAGCAGGAGACCACTGTCCCCACCTACCCTGCTTGACCTTTCACACACCTATTCTACCATGGGCAGGCATGTTGCAGAGGCTGCAAGTTAGAATACCTTTTTTTCTGCCAAGAAACATTTTCCAGCATGGTTTTCAATCTAGTAAGAAGCTGTTCTGTCTTAAGCCACAAGCCAAAGCCTTGGCCTTGATGACCAGGCCCTGCATCTCCTCCACTGTCATGTTTGGGAAACCCAAGGGAATGGCATTCCAACTGTGGGAAGCTGAAATCAGATTAACACAGGCGCTTTGTGCTGAAATAATCACAGTTCCAATGCTTAATAAAAATTGTCTTTCGTTGCAACTCTGTGAACTTATGACTAATTTTTGGAACCTAAAAATGGTACTGACTTAATTGGTACCAGGATCCTGGTACCAGGCTCCTTTCCTAGAGTTGGGTCCCTCATGTATGCTTCAGCTCCCTGCCACATTTGCCAAGGCTGATGGCTCTTTCATTGATGCCAAGGGCATCCACAGGCCCACCAGGCCCAAAACAGTGGGCGTAGAGGTTACCCATTGCATGTAGCCCATGCTCTGCTTCACCTCAAGGGTCAGCCTGGATGCTCTGCATGCATGTTCCTTCTCTCTTGACTATAGCTTTTCTTCCAGGGATGACACCTTGGAGGAAAAGTGATTTGTTCACTGGCCAAACACCAAGGAGAGCATGTTCCTAGCTGTCTGCACAGAAGATGAGAGGAGAGGGGAGGGGACACTTGGATAACCTTATCAGAAGTCATCCTGAGCCTTTAATATCTGTCTTAAGATAAAGAGTCATTGCTGGAATAAGGCAAAGGAAACCCTCAGTCTTCAGTGACAAGTTAAAGGGGGCACATGAGGCCTCACACCCATAGGAAACCTGATCTCTACCAGGGTGGTATGGACTGAATGTATCCCCGTCAAATTCATATATTAACCCCCTACCCTCTCCCAAAGTGATAGTATTTGAAGGTGGTGCCCTTGGGAGGCACTTAGGTTCAGATGAGTTCATAAGATTGGGACCCCCATAATGGGAGTAATGCCTTAGTAAGAAGGAAACAATCAGCAAAACTAAAAGGCAACCGACAGAATGGGAGAAGATATTTGCAAATGACATACCAGATAAAGTCAGAGAAAGACAAAAAGCATATGACTTCACTCATATGAGGACTTTAAGAGACAAAACAGATGAACATAATGGAAGGGAAACAAAAATAATATAAAAACAGGGAGGGGGGACAAAACAGAAGAGACTCATAAATATGGAGAACAAACTGAGGTTTACTGGAGGGGTTGTGGGAGGGGAGATGGGCTAAATGGGTAAGGGGAATTAAGGAATCTACTCCTGAAATCATTGTTGCACTATATGCTAACTAATTTGGATGTAAATTTAAAAAAATAAAAAAAATTAAAAGAAAAGAAGAGACACAGAGAGCTTGCTCCCTCTCTCACCTTGTGTGCATAAGGAAGAGGTCATATCAGTACAGAGCAAGATGGTGGCTACCTATAAGTGAAGAGAAGAAGTATCAGAATAAAATACCTTCCTGGGGTGCTTGGGTGGCTCAGTCAGTTGGGTGTCTGACTTCAGCTCAGGTCATGATCTCGCAGTTCATGAATTCAAGCCCCACATTAGGCTCTGTGCTGACAGCTTGGAGCCTGGACCCTGTTTCAGATTCTCTGTCTCCCTCTCCCTCTACCCTCCCCTGCCTGCTCTCAAAAATAAACAAACATTAAAAAAAAAAAAACTATCTTGCTGGAACCTTCATTTTGGACTTTCAGCCTTCAGAATGGTGGAAAATAGAGATCTGTTGTTGAAGCCCCCCATCTGTAGTATTTTGTTATGGCAGCCTAAGATGACCAAGACATGGGGGCTGTTTGCTTTTTGGCATGTCCTTTTGTAGCCATTGGGAAGAAGCAGCTGAAGGCTTACTCACTTGTCAGTCACTCCTTAGCCCATTGTGTTCAGCAAATGCAGAATGTTTCCAAGAACCAGTTCTCTTGGGCTGCCCAGCAAAGACAGAAACAGAGCTCAGGGGCATTCTTGATATCCTGTTTGACTTTAGATAGGCAGAGTTAGAAGTGACTGGCACTCTGGGGTGTTGGCAAGTACTCTGTTGTCTGCCTCCTCCATTGACAGTTGCTTCTCTTGGTCAGGGAGCCACCCTCCCCATCCTGTCACACAGTACAGGAAGGACTGTACATGTACAAACCAGGCCATGCTTGTTAGAGTGAGGAGAGATTGCAAGGGAGCAAGAGGCACTGCTCTCCTGGTGTGCAGAGTGGCCTGGGTTCAGAGGTCAAGAGCTGCCTTGTAGAGCATGTGTGGGTGGGGGCTGGCATTTGGCTCCTCCGTAGCCTCCTTCAAGCTACTCAGTCAGCTGGTAACATTCTAACCATGGGAGAAGCTTGGTGCCTACTGTGCAGTAGCAGTAGTTCCCATAGCTGGACCTGTAGTTTCCGACAGGAAGAAAGTTTGGTCTTGCCCTGTTTCTCCGTTTACATGGTCAGGCAGGCCCTAAATGGTGCACTCCCGTGAGATGCAACTGAGGCCCTGTTCTGCTTGGGCAGTCACTTAAACTCTCTGTGCCTTAGTTTCTCCATCTGAAAAATAGGAAAGAGGAAGAGATGATGCTTTTCCTTCCTAGTTCTCAGAGCAGATAAGGATAAATGGAATTACAGAGCTGGAAGAGGCTTTGGGAAAGGCACTGTAGAAGCGAAGGAGGCTGGAGGCATTTGTTTGGGGTTATAGTTTGAATTTAGTGTTTAGAGAATGCCTAGGCCAGGATTTGTCTGACCCAGCCCAATTTATTCAGGCTTCAGTACCCCCCTGGATTTCGGACAAGAACTCTGAACAGGGAAGGTTTGAGGTCATCTAAGGCTGTGCCTCAATCAACTGCTTAGCTCCTGGCTCAGCCCCAGGACTAGGTTGCCAGAGGGTCAGAGGGGCAGGTTGCCTGGGTCCACTCTTTCCTGGAGATCCCCACAGGAATAACTGCAAGGACACGACATTTTAGAGTGCTACAGGGGCCAAATTCCCGGAACCAGTGCTCACATGCAGGATTGTCCAGTTGTGATTTTGTTCTGTGTATTACTGAAGTCAAACCATGGTGAATGAGTTCTCTACACCTCTCCAGCAGTTTCAGGCCCAGTGTCTGCTCCAAGGCATTCCTGCTTCTCCTGGACTTGGCTTTAACTGGAGTCGGCTGGTACTTATCTTTTGGCATATCTTCCCAGGCATGAGAGCTAATTTCCCCAGATCCAGATGGTCTCCTGATGATTGTAGCCAGGGAAAAAGCTGTCCACTCTCAGGCTTTGGAGGGGGCAGGACTGGCCATGGCAGAAGAGGGCAGGACAGCACAAGGGCAAGGAGTGACTGGTATTCCTTTAGCAACAATGGAATCAGAAACAAGTATTACATGCACTCTGTGTCATGAACTAAGGGGTGGGGACTGTACCAGCCTTACCAAGGGCAGGACAGAAATTTAGCTAAGGCTTGGGCCAAGAAGAGTGGTCACAGCACAAGCTTCTAAGGCCATGACTCAAACTGGAAATAGCTATGGTCATCTTCATGGTCTGTACTAAACTGCTCCAGGAGGCTCTGGGGACTTTGCAGCCCACAGCACAAAGTTTCACCAGAGAAATCTTCCAATGGATGCCACACCTGGAACTGCTCCATCCCCTTCCCTCCGGCCCCACATGATGCATATGAGCCACCTTGTCTTCTCTCCCAGGCTCTTCTTGGGTGTGGGAAAGAGAGCAAGGGGAGATGAGCTGTTTCTCCAGCCGCCCAAGGGCAGGCAGGTCCCAGTGAAAGGTTAGAAGGAAGAATCCAAAGGCAAAGCAGGCCTTGCTGTCAGGATACCCAACCTCAGCTGCCTGGCTCTCCAGCCTGGGTGGCTTCCAAGAGGCAGCAGCATTCAGCCTTGGCCCCTGAGCACAGTGGCCCATACTGTCCTCACTGGCTGGGATACAAGGGCTGCATATTCTCAGAATTTCCTGGCCTTGATGTGTACCTCTGCTGGGATAGCTGTGGCCTCCTCCCTCACCCCAGTTGCCTGAACAGTAGATCCAGGAGCTGTAGGCCCTGGCCGTCATTCTCACAACACAGCCATCAACAGTCACAAGATTCAAAGCAGGCAGCTTTCAGCAATGGTGACAGGAAGGTGGCCCCTGGCTGAGACTACTGTCACCATACCATGACCCTACAAGACTTGATGGTGGCTCAGTGTGGATTTGTTTACCTTTCCAGCATGAAGCCACATTTGCTTCCCTTGTGTGGGAAAGCATAGGAGTTGCATTTGTCTGTGGGTTAGTGGGCCAGGGGACACTGGAAGAACACACCTGAAGCACCCCAGCTGCCACACATGGCAGAGCTTCCAGACACAGCTGCCATGACCCCCACATCAGTTCATTCCCAGGTGGGCACAATAGCCTCCTCACTGAGCAGACTCAGTCCAGACATAATAGAATAATCCACATACAGACTTAACAGGTCAATATTCATGTGTTTTCTGTGGCATCAAAAATTTATAAATGTTCTTGTTCCTGAATGCTTTTGATGAAGAAAGTAGACTATTCACATGAATAGCACAGTACTGGCTGATGCCCTCTGTAGCATCTCCAGTGTTCCAAGTATTCTGATGACAATGATGGTGAAGGTAGTGAACGAGAGTGAAAGAACATTCTTGTGTGCAAATGTTGTACATCTCTGCCAAAATCACTGGGAAGAAAAGGGTGAGGGAGAAAGATTGTGCAGAGGGGAGGAGGGTAGGGTGGGCATGGGACCTTAGAACTGCAGCTTCTCCCACCAGAGACCAGAATTTGCAGTCTCAGGAGACAGCACACCAGATCCCATTCCCAGCTCTCAAAATGGGCTACCACAACTATAATGAAAGCCGTCTGCTTTATACTAGGATCCAGTTACATGTTTCATAGGGGATATTAAATAATTGACATGTGTTGTTTTCATGGGTAAGCAAAACAATGTTGAATGGTTCTCCATTGCTTATGAAACAAAATCCAAGTTCTCAGCCTGGTATAGTCTGGCTTCACTCTTTTTCCACAGCTTCGTGTCCTTTATTGCTTCACATACTCTGCCCCCAGCCTCACTGAACCATCATGTTTGACACAAGCCCTGGTCTTTCTACCCTCATGGATTTGACACTATTCCATATACCTGGCGTGTCCTTCCCTCCCATCTCTGCATTTCCAACCCTTGCTCATGATTCCGATCTTAGCCAGGAAGCCCTTGTCTATTCCATGTCCCCTTCGACCCCTGCCTGTGCCTCTCTTGGAGCATTTATGTCTTTGTTCAGCTCCCACTGCACC